ATTTTGAGGGAAAGTATAAACAAGAATGATAATGATTTATAATTTGATTGTCATCTTTTTTCTTCTTTTAACTAAAGCATGAAAAAATTACGTCATAATGCAGTAATGATGCTCTGACAATAGCATCCTTTCATCAGATTTTTGCAAAATAGCAAGCATCCTTGTTGCTTTAGGGCTTAAGAGGCAATTTTATTTTAAGCAATAATTTATCATCACATGCTAGCAACACAAATACTCCTTGTATTGACATTTTTTTTTTTTTTTCACTAATTAAATCCAAAAATGTGCATAAAATTCGCATATATTTGCATATATATATATATATCATAGATGTCATTTGATAGTAATAGAAAATATTGGATAAAAGTTTGAAGCAATTGAAAACTTTTTGCTTTCATTTCTAATTTATAAATTAGGATTTTATAATTTTTGTGACTCTTTTTGTTGATTTTTGGTTAGTGTACGATAGAATCTGAGTTTTTTTTTTAATTCTATTTCATTATTTATTATTATTATTATTTGTATTTTATTTCTTTAAATTTTAATCTACAAATATTTTGCCTAATATATAAACTATAAAAGATGTTAGTTATTGGCTGATTTTGTGCATCTGAAAATAACGTTGCTATTTTGATACAGTCGCATTTGTTTATGAATCAATTTGCTACACATATATATTTTAAGTAATACTTATAATTAGCCTAAGTAATAATTAAACTAAAATATTTTGAAAATAATTTATAATCTGTTGAAAAATTGCGCCTATTTCATCAAATAAACATTTGAGCTGTATATCATTTGTTCTAAATTCCATTCTTGGCTCATTTAAGCTTCTAGCAGTATATCATTTTTTTTTCCTCTTTTATTGCATCTATTTATGAACCATTGCTAGCCCATAGTCATCAATCCCTATGGATTTTCAATTTAAAAAAAAAAAAAAAAAAAAACAATCACTTATGAATACTTTGGGAATTATCATTGAGAACTAAATTTAATGTATGAAACTTTAAATATGGTAAATAAATTTTTTTTTATTCAAAGAGAAAAAATAAAAAACCAAACGGAATGGAAAATTTCTATTTATTGTCAATTACTCTCTCTCTCTCTCTCTCTCTCTCTCTTGTAGTCTTTATATTTTTTATTAATCTTTTAGCACTCAGTATTCAAAAAAAAAAAAAAAATTGTCAAATTTATAAAATTGCACCACATTTTCTTCGTTTTTCAATAGGTAAGAAAATAAAAGAATAAAAAAACTAAAGCCTTTTTTTACATTTCATTTTATTTATTTATTATTATTATTATTTTTTTTTTATTCTTAATTCATTTCTAACGAATAAGAAGGAAACTATTAGCAATGCTACATCCGGATTCGAAATCATTTTCACATTCCGAATATACTCGCTTACCTGAAAACATTGCAATTTTTCTGTTTTTTATTAATCCTTTAAGAAATGACTAAAAGAATTGTAATGTTTATATTTTTTATTCAATATTCCTTTTTTATTTTTTTCATTTTTTTTTCCAATTAATTCATTGATTTTTTAAAAATACTTTATGAAAATCACAATATAAGAGATTAAAAAAAAAATTGAAATAGCAATTGAGTAGTTTTTTGCTAAATATTTGATCGATTTACCAATTCTCTTTTTTTTTCCCGAATAAATTTCAAATAAATTTTTCTTTTTGCACTACACTCAGTAACCAATACATTAATTAAGTCAGTTATTTAAATAAAACTTTTCGTTTTTTCTTTTTTTTAAAGTAAATAATCAAACAAAATATTTATTTATCATTTTCACATAATTGTCAATAATAATTGCAATTCTTATATTCTCTTCTAGTTCATAATTTAATCCCAGAATTAATTTCAATATATTCATCAATTTTTTTTTTATTATTTAGCAAAAGTATTAGTGCAATATACTGTAATTGTATCAGCTTCTATTTGTTCAAATAACTTTTAAAAATTTCATTTTCTTTTTTTTTTACAATCTTAAGCATCGCATATATATTAAAATACATGTAACTAAACTTTTTTTATATTCATATGAAAATTAAGAAAAAAAAAAGAATAAAGAATTTTGGAATAGAATAAATTGTAATTAAATGAAATTTGCTTACACAAGAAATAAGAAATTTTTGAAAAAAAATTTTTTTCATCCCTTTCTTTTTATCCATCTAATTATTACTGCATGATTACATTTGAACATTCAATTTAGCTGCTTAAAAATTGACTTAAAATGCAAGTTTCATTTTTCAATATATTTTACCAATTTGATATTTTATGAATGAAATTTTCTATTGCAATCATCTAAAAATTATTTACAACAGTTGCAAATAGATGAAATATTTTTGCTTTTTATATAAGATTACATTGTTTATTAAATTTTTTTTTTTGTTTAATTTTTCTATTTCATTCTTATGTTAAAGTGGTAATTAAATAATCATTTTTTTCCATCATTTTCTTGTCAAATAATCAATATTGAAAGTACAATTTAATTTATTAAATTGTATTTTTTTTCTTTTCTTGTTTTTTTGTCAAAATATTTCAAAGATTCATTGAAAATTTTGTTATCTTCTCTTTTAAATTTAAAAAAAAAAAAAACTAATTGCCCAAACATAAAACACATTCTAAATTGCTTAAAGAATATTATTAAAAAATTTGGTTTCGGCCGTAAGCTTATCGATTTACATTATTTATACGTCATCCTTGTTAGCAGTGAATATCTCCTTTTTAATCTTTCAGCTTAATGATTGAATGTTCCTACATTCTATTTACGATCTTTCCTCCACACCAATATTTCAGTAAGATTAAAGACATTATTTACGTCTAGATAGACGGATTAAGCATAAGTTCATTTAGATTAAGCGTACTATCCGAGAGTTCATTTAGATTCCGTACTATCCGAGAGTTCATTTAGATTAAGCGTACTGATCCGAGAGTACATTTAGATTAAGCGTACTATTTGAAAGCTTATCTATAGATAAAGTATACTATCTGCTTGGTCAATTTTGATTGAACATATTAAACACATCCTAGTGTGCAGGTTTATTTAAATCAAGCATATTATATGAAAATTAGAAAATTTATTTAAAATAGATGTACTCCTTGTCGGTAGGTAAAAAATAATTGATGGTCTCATGAAATAATTCTATTACTTAGATGTATTGTTTTATTTTTTTTTCCTTTTATTCTTAATTCAATTATCCATTCTTGATTTCATTTCTTTTTTTTTTTTTTTAAATTTTTAAATTATTCAAATATATTCATTTGTTTACATAAACAAATTTTTTGTATTATTTCATATAGTTTTATTCTTCGATCTCATAAATTCTTGATTAAGAAGAAATTATTAGAGAAATATATAGTATGCCTTTTAACAATTAACATGAAATATATTATTTAAATTTTAAGTATAAATAAATTTTCCTTTAGGATAACTGATCCAAAAAAAAAAATTAATGGATATGAAAGTATTTAAAGTAAACAAACAAAAAAAAAAAAAAGAAAAATCTGTTCCAGTGACAAAGGAAAAAAAAAAAGAAGGAAAATATTGGTATAATTTGAATGCGAAAAGAAAAAATTTGTGAAATGGCATGGAAATTTACTGGCAATACCGATTTTGATTTAAATGCTGGTCGTAATGCATTTCGATGTGATACAGGCATTGATGACTGGGAATATGCTGGTAAGTTGCAGTAGGAAAGTGGAAAATTCATTTTTTGTTATCAGTCTTTAAAAAAAAAAAATTAATATTTTATGTTATAATCAAATTTATCATTAATAATTATCAGTTAATCATTCAATAATATCAATAATTAAAATTTACGCTTTTTTTTCTGCAAAAATTTTCAAATATAGTATTTAAAATATGAATAAATTTTATGCATATTTTTAATAATATATCATTCAAATTATATTATATATTCAAAAAATATTAGTGTCGAAAAAAAAATAAAATCATTCAAGCGAGCATAAAGAAAATATTGGAATAATAGGAATAAGAAAAAGTTGAAAATAAACTGAAATAGATTAAATAAATGATTAAGGATTTAAAAATTCAAAAAGATCTCTAAGGCATATTTATTTTTTAAATTAATTTAATGTTGATTAGCAAAATGATGATTATCTTGTTTACTCATTCATTTAAGTTAGATTTCTTTGTTTTTTAAATCTAAGCTAAGATGATGAGTTTGAGTAATATTTACTTGGCATTTTAGTCAATATTTTATTAGTTAGTCATACATATAGCACATTTCATATCTTATATAGTAGATGAAAATAGGCTAGTTGAATAAAATGAGCCCAGCTATAGCCTAAACTATAGTTTCTTTGCCATGGCTTTTAACTGCATATCTAAGAAATCGATTTTCAAACTAACTAAGAGCTATGAAAAAGGACGATGATGGCATATAAGATGTGGATTTATAATTAGTTCAACAATCTGTGCTTCCCTTTTTTTTTTCTTTATTTTTTTAAAATATAAAAAAATGAAATTTAGCAGCAAAGTGAAATGAATTATTCAGGTAATAAACAATGAGAAATAGAAATGATCAGGGAAATAAATATGAAAATAGTTGAAAGCTTTTAAGATTTTTAGTTTTTTAACAACTTGCAAAATTTTACTTCTTTAATAGATTTATTTATTTATTTATTAAATTACCGTTCATTAATTATTGTGATTGTGCATTATCACGTTGAATTGAAATGTAATTTTATTACAAATATCAAAACTTTATTAATTATTATAAATGTAAGCTAGGAATGGTTAAATAGTATACGAAAATATTTTTGGAACTATCATATGTTAGCTTATTTATCACAGATTTTTTGATTGACCGATAATTAATTTTAAAGTATCTTTTCCATATTTAACGTAAAGAATCCTCTCTTAATAGATTGATTATAGAAATAAAAAAGTTGATAAACAATTTTGATAAATATAAAACAAATTATTCCCTTTTTTTTAAAAAAAAATTTTACAGACAGTGAAACAATAATGCGTCGTAACTCAGCAATTCGATCATTCACTGAATCGGTTGATTCGGATTTTCCACCAGCTCCGGAATTGCCTCCTTCGTTAAATATCGATTTGCATTATCCAGAAGAAGTGTTAAGAAGAAGTGAAACATCGGAGACAATTATTGAGGTTAATTTTTCATTAAATTGACTACACATAAAGATATATGCTAAAAATTAAAAAAAATAAAAAATAAAAAATTTTAAATTAAATATACTTTAAGTGTAATAATTTTAATTATAGTTTGATTAATATATAATAGATTTAAGAGAATTTTACTCAAATAAAGTAAAATATTTTGACTAAAAGATGCATGAATAATAATAATAAATATAATAAAATAATAGTAATTATAATAATAAAATAATGGTAATTGAAAAAAAAAGTTGTTTCAGAGAAAACCTAAACAATCGTTACAAGATGTGGTCAGTGGTACTCAAAAATATCCTGTAATGGTACCTGGTCCAGGTCATGTTGATGAGGAACAAGAACTTCATGCAAGTCTTTTGCATCAGGATGACGAAGGCTCTGAAAGTGATATGGAAATTCGTAATTTCCAGACGGAACAATCGTTGAATATTACCAATACAAAGGTTGTATTATTTTTAATTTTTTTCAAATAAATCACTTAACAAATTGTTATGATCAATGAAAATTTTCAAAAAAATGATTGGTAGAAATCTCAATAATACATTCACTACAGCTATTTTAATTTTAACCTAAATATGTTAAGTTTAATAATATTAATTATAGTTTGATTAATATAATAGAGTTATTTATATGATACTTCGATACAAACCAAAAAGTTAATCATTTAAAATATCAACAATCATTTATGAGAAATATAATACACTATGAAATTGGTCTAAGCTAATTAGTAATTAGCTTAGCTAGTTTTAATGATTATAGTTGTTCTATAACCTTTCAACTATCCCGTCTCTTGCAGCAATAGCAAAACAGACGTGATCGTAATCGTGAAGCATCACGTGATTGTAATTATGCTATAATCTTTCAACTAGTCCTTCTTTTGCAGCAACAGCAAAAAAGACGTGATCGTGATCATGAAGCATTACGTCATGAATATTCAGTATCAACGCTGGAACGACCACGACCAACAACGCCAACGTCATGGTGCGCTATTGAGAATTACGTAGAAGGTTCCATAGAAGCTGATTCACCACCGATCGTAGAAAAAAAACAAAAGATTCACGTCAGTATACCAAATCATAATGCACCACAAAGTATGTCATAAAATTATCAACCAATAAGTTTTAGTTAATTTTTATAGGAAAAGAGGAATTGAAATTTTCATTTTATTACTATAAAAATTAAAATTAATTATAATTCATTGATTAGTAAATGCATATTTTTAACGCTTGCTAACTTCATGTAATATTCATTTATATAAATCATTGATTTTTATTTTAAAACGAACAATATTAATAAATGCTAAAAAAGATTTGTATATGTGAATTCTGTTATGAAAACGAAAGTTTGAATTATAATCTAATTTTTTTTATAAAAATCATAAAAATTAATTGAGATCTCTATTAAAAAAAGATTATTTTTTTTGTCTAAAATTTGATTATTTTTGATTTTTATAAAATTAACAAATGTTTTGTTTATTATTATTATTACTACTTTTTTTATTCCATTTGAATGTTATAATGTAAACGCATATGAAATGATTTCATTTACAATTAAAATAATTTTAGCACCAAAACGTCGTCGTCGAGCATCCATGTCATGGTTTGATTTTTATGAAACAATGTCAACACAAATACCATCACAAGTATACCTCTATCTAATTTTTATAAAATTCATAATAATTAATTGAAAATTTTATTTAAAAAAAAATTATTTTTCGTTATACAAAATTTTAATAAATTATTTGCTTTTAATTGAAAATTTTATTGAAAAATTTATTCGTTTAATTGAAAATTTTATTTTAAAAAAAAATTATTTTTCTTTATACAAAATTTTAATTAATAAATTATTTACTTATTTATTTTCAATAATATTTTAATAGGTTCGTAAATCAGTTTCTGGTCGTACTACACCACTAAATAATTATGATGGTGATATACTGGAAGAAGATCCAAAATATCGGAATGTAGCACCACCAAAACCAGTCATCCATCGTCGTTCATCAACTGATTGGGAAAGTTTCATAGATAATGGTAAAGATTTTGAATTAATTTCATTTTGGTATAAAATATAAGTTAACATTTTTAATTTACATAAATTTTGTGAATTGGAAAATATTATTTCAAAAAATTTTATTATCTACTATCAAAAGACTATTATGAATTATTTTAAAATTATCATGATACTGCTTTATCAATTTTTCCATTATTTATGTTTTTATCTATTGATTAGCAAAAATCATTTATTTCTAATATTCCACATCACTCTTGACTTTTTTTTTTACTTCAAACTAATTATTGGATTATATTAGATCAGTAATTATATATCCAATACATTTCAACCTTTTTTAAAAAAAAATCTCTTCGTTCCCAAATATTTTTACTCTAATTTTTGCATACAGAAGTAACATTTATCATTTGTTTATTCATTTATTTATTTACCTACTTATTTGTTTATTTGTTTATTCATTCATTTGTTTATTTTGCTAGTTCGTTTAATTGTTCTTTTGTTGTTTCAAATCCCTCCTTTTATTTATTTGTTTTTTCTAATTAATAGATTATAGGACTAAAAAAAGAAGAAAAAAACATTTTAATTAATTCAGTAGAAATATATCACACAGAAGAAAAGTAATAAATTCTTTATATTCAATTTTATTTTAGAAATATTTTCCACTTTTTTTCTTTCTAATTTCCAAAATAGTTTCTCTTAGTATTGAATAATTTTCGTTTTTCTTCTCGAAAGAGCAAAATGTCCTTTACTGAATAAAATAAACTTAATCAATGCAGTAAAAAACAAAAAGAAAAAATCCAAAAATCCATTTTTTTTCCTTGTCTTTTCTATTTTACCATTATTTTCTAACTAATGTTTCAATGGAAACAAAAAATGTTGGTAAGATTGAAATTAAATTGATTGTTAGTAAGATTGAAATTAAATTGATTGTTAGTAAGATTGAAATTAAATTGATTTTTAGTAAGATTGAAATTAAATTGATTGTTAGTAAGATTGAAATTAAGACAGTGTAAGAGCCATATATGATGAATTGGTCAAATTGATTTTAGTAAGATTGAAATAAATCGATTTATGAATGAAAAACAAGAGCCATATATGATGAATTGTCAACATTTTTGTAAAATAATTTTTGTATGTAAAATGTCGTATATTTGTGTATGTGTATGTATGTTTGTATGTATGTATGTATGTATGTGTGTATATATGAGTTTTTTTTTATGAATTAGTAGTTTAGATGTATTTCAGAGCTTATAGAAAGCTTTTAAGCCAAAAGGCAACTAAATAGAGACATACTTCTATTCCATTAGGGCCTTTAATCTGATTTTGGCAAAGCCTTACTGATGCATTGATTTTACGGCAATCTTGCTTAACTAAAATTAGCTACGTAGAAGACATGCAGCATGCAGTGCATGCATGTGCATGTAGCATATTTATTATGCATATTATTATATATTACCTTCTTCATCCTTTCATTATGCACTTCGGAATATTTCTAATTGTAATTAATTTATTGCATATATTTTTTGCGCTTTTTTTTGGGGCTTAAACTTTTTTTCAATCTTTAAAAAAGTTTGGAAATTTCGCTTAGATAAAATGAAAAAGACCTAAATGTGTGAAATAAAAGAAGAATGACGTAAATCTTTCTGAAATTTCACGTCATCCAAAAAAAAAAAAAGGATGTAAAATAACTTGAATCTGCCATAAATATAGACAAATGCGTATCAAGACATTTGCGCTATTCATTATCATAATAAATAAATTATGGGAATCTTAAAAAAAATAATTTAAACATTAAAAATGCAAAAATATTCATTGTCCGAATTCGTTCACGAAAAAAGAAAAAAGAACATATTTTACTGCATATTTAAATTTTGCTGGGAATTTTTTTTATTTTATTTTTAGAGATGTTCAAAAAAAAAAAAAAGCCAGTAGTTAATCTAGTCAGTTTAACTTATTGGCTAAGAATGCTTTGTATATAATTCCAGCAATTTCTTTCTCCTTCAATATCATTTTCGATATTTGTCCATTCTGTGTCGTGTAATTGATGTTTTTTTTTTTTGAAATTGTCTCGTTTAAATCTTTGAAATCATCCAAATTGCACCATCCACTTATTCACTGCTATTTAATTGTTCCAAGCATAGACAATTTTGTGGAAAATGAGCCTAACTAGGCTTTTATCCACTTTTTGAATAGCTCATTTTCAGTAACCTATCATCATCATAAATAATTCAGTTTTGACAATTTTGCTCATTTAATTCATATCATAAATTCTTAATCCATTAGTTATATTTTTATGCTAACGATCGTTAATTCAAATTATTCCGTTAAACCACTTTTTTTTTTTAATATACATATTATAATATATGCTTTATTAAAAATGGAAGTGTTAAATTTAAAACTTCAAAAAATTATAATTTCATTTCAAAATTTAATTATTTTGGCAATTATTTTGTGGCGTATAAAAATTATTTTACTTCTATTACAGCAGAATCTGAGATATCGAAATCTACGGAAAAAAACGATATGAGAAAATCGGATATTACAGTTAGTTCTAAATTTTTTTCTTCTTTTTTTCCTAAAAAAAATTAAAAATATTGCAAATGTATGACCGTTTTAATATTTGATTAAATTTGAAATTTAACTTGTTTGATTTGTTTGCCTTTGAAAAATTGATTTTTCCTTTCATCTTCCTTCTAAATTTTTGCGCCATGGGTTAATTTTCTAGCAAATATACATTTACTAATTAACTTACCGTTTTTTTTATTTTCAAACAAAAAAAAATTTAAATAATTTACTAGTAAAATTTTTCGTTATTGATAATTTTTTACGGATTGAAAAACAAATATTCCTTTTTTGGAATTTCGTTTTTCTTTTTTTTTATAGTCATCCAAATAAATGAATGTGCGTACATATATGCAATTCGAATATATTATTCAAAGATATATATATATGTTTGGTTTGTTCCTTTTCTGAAGAAATGTCGATCAAATCGTCTTCTTGCAAAATTTTAAAGAGAGAGAAAGAGAGAGAGAGAGAAAGAAAGAAAGAGGGAGATTAAGCTTAATTCATCATATTCCTTAGGGCTTACCAGATAGAATACTAATGCCATTCATTTAGTCTTTTTTTTTTTCAATTTTAGAAATTTCAAAGGTACACTTTGTAACAAATAAACATAAAAGTAGGATGAAATTTTTATATTGAAAATGACCGTCAACAAAGTTAATTCTATGAAATTTTCATTTTCACAAAATCAAATTTATTGCAAGGTATTAAAGTAATATAAAAGCTTATTTTGTATCTTTTTCTTTCAGTTTGTCCTTTAATATAATATTTATTGGTGTCATTATTATTTGCTATTATTTATTATTGTTATTACTGTTATCAATGTTATATTATCATCATTGTTATCATTATCATTAATTATTGCTAGTTATTGTGATGCAATCAATAATTCGCTTTCAGATTTTGTAAATTTTACTGAATCCATCAACAAATAATTTAATGATATATTGAGCATCCGCACTAATTTCTCTTTTCATTTTTTTTTAATATATATCTAAAATCTTCGAACTGCAAACTTTTTGAATCAAAAACTTTACTTTACTTCATTCAGCTCATTTATTTAGTCAATGAGCTGCATGAAGCAGATCATTGGAAAGCAGATCATCTGTCGTATTTTCTCGTTTTGAAGTAAAGTTCAGCTAATCCTGCAAAATATCGTGAAACATACACCAGAAAAAACTCTATATTTTATTTTGCGGAAATTTCTTTTAGCAAAACCCTCAAAATTAATTGTATGACTTAATTAATGATACATTGAACATTCATTGCTTATTTGATAAAAAATAATTATTTCAAATATTCAAGACAAATAATGGTGATGAAGAACTGACATCAAATAAATATGACATGCAAGGGACATCAGATGATCAAAGGATGTCACCAAATTCTAGAGCACTGATGGAACCTTCTGAAGATGTTGAAAATAATAGACAGGTTGTTGCATATATTTGATATTTGATAGATCCAATGATAAGCCTTTATCAGTCATTGTGAATTTTATCAATCATTCATATAACCATGAAATATCCCGATCTTTACATAATACTTGAATAAATGTGTCAGTCGAGAAAAAAAGCTATTATTTTTTTACTATTATTTTTTATTTAATTATATATAATACTATTATTTTTTTTATTTAATTTAATTTTATAAAATTGCATTTTTAGTATTTTCACACAGCATGATCACTCTTAATATTCTATATTTTTGTTGTCATTTTCATCACAAAAAAAAAATAATAATAATAATAACAATAATAAATATTATAATGCAATATTTTAGACTTTATTCGATACATAGAGCTTTGAATTCAAGATAATATCGACCATATTTTATTTTCTGCTGAAAAATGATGAAAAGAGGAATAATGCATAAATTTCGAAAATAAAATTATAAATGAGATTAATTGCGCATATATCTTTTTTATTTGATAATAGAACGCCAAATTTTTTGAATGCTTAAAAATTTCTATAGTAAAATTTGACTCACTCAAACAATGTTTCAAAGTTTTCACTAATAAAAATATCATACTTTCAAGTATCAGAAAATATTAGCATTTTCTATTTTCAGATTTTTACATCTCATACCAATAATACCACCTGCTATACAGATAAATCAGAAATTACCTCAGTAACACAAGCACCAGGTACGTTACATTTGTTTTTTATCTATGGAAGGAAAGGAAGTTGAAATTAAAAGTTTACTTTTGATGATTACCATGAAAGTAATTTTTTATATTAAACTGACACCTATGAACACCTATTTCAATTGTATTATTAAAATATTTAGCCCTAATGTAAAGCTTACATAACCTTTAACCTTTAAAAAAAATCAGCCAGGTTAGTTTCACTGAAAAGCTAAACGCCAGCAGATAATTTGTTCCACGTGAGATAATTTCATTCCATGTGAGAAACAATGTCAATTTGGTTGACTTATGTTAGCTTGATGATAATATTAACAAGATGAACAGTGCATTTGAACAACAGATCAGTTCTATTGATTTCTTTCGAAAAATAAAATTTAAAATTAAATCGATATATTTGATTAATGATCACTCATTCTTATCAGAAATATTTCTGTAATATTTTCTGTGACAGAATTGTACTCAGATTGGTCAGAAAATTTTGAACAAAAGGAAGAAATTATGATAAAACAGAAAAAAAGTACAACAAGCAATGATGCCAATACGGAACGAAACGAATCAAGAGGTAGCGTTGAATTACCAGATCAGGTATACGGTACGGAACAATATCCTGTTATTCCTGAAACTGAATCAACGATACATTACGATATAAGTTCAAATTACGAGAATGCAGGAAAACAGAATGCTGATAGCTCTGAAATGACAGGTTTTCAACAAACAGGTATGCTTCAATCAAAGCAATTTATATTTCATAAATTTGATTAATTCGCCTAAAAATTTTAGATTACTTGACCTTAAATTGCTTAAATATATTATATTCGAAAATCTAAATTTGTGAATTGATTGAATCTTTATAATTATCACTTATTTAAGAACATTTTTTTTTGCTAATTTATTAAAACTTGTCAATGAGAGAGAAAAAAATAGAATAAACTGCTATTTTTGAATACAAAAATTCTAGAAAATTTACTTTGGTTTTATGCAATTATTTGAATTAGCTATTTCAATATTTCATTAGATAGCAGAAACCAAAGTGTTATATTATTTTAGGTGACACTACGCTTAATGAACAACCAGTGGAGTATGAACAATATACTTATTCTTACAATGAACCACAGATTCAAAGCTTTGATGAAGTGAAAAATGTAAACTACGATTACGGTACGACATCGTATCCTGATTATGAACAACAACAGCAGCAGCAAAATGAAGTGTTTACAAATTATCAAGATTATAACGAAATGAATTATGGAACAACGTATCAAAGCTATAATCAACAATCAACTGTAAGTGAAGACTACACACAACAACTGATAACAAAGCAGGATTACGATCAACAACCTACCGTACTTCCTGATTACGGTGCTTCACAATATAATCAATCACAGGGATATAGCTACGATAGCTATAATACTTATGCGTCATCTTATATGCCATCAGCAAATGACCACCAAAATTATGAAAGTCAGACTGGTTCAGAATCTTATCCAGGTGAAGTAGCCAAATTTAATAATATGTATGAAATAAAATTTATAAAATTTAAGTCATATGGAGCGCTTACAGGGCTTATTTAAAAGAATCGAAATACAGAGAAATTTTTTTCTCAGGATAGACATTTGCTAATATTATAAAAGATAAGTAATTTTATTTAAAAATTTGCATTCATCCATCTTGGAGAAAGATTACCATAATCCAATATAATAAAGATAAAAAGATAAGAATCATGAAAATTGTCGAAAAAATTATCATCAAAAAATGTTTAGGTATTGTTATAGAAACAACCGGTGATTACGATATGTCACATTATCAACAACCTGTTGCAGAAAATTCTACTACATCTCTTCACTCTAATGATGGTTATCGATCTCCTATGATACCACAATACATTGCACCATTATTTCCAGCCGTCATTAGGCAACTTTTTTTTTTAAAGAAGAAAATTTTTATAAATTAAATTTCTATGATATTGCAATGGAAAATTTACAGTATATTATTGGAAATTTTTAAATGATAATAAAATGAACTTAACAGGTAATTAAATTATTAGTTTATTTTATAAAATATTCATTTTCAGGTCGGAACCAAATCCATTTTCTTGGGAAGCACAAGAAAGTGTAGCAGCAACGGTTACACAATCGATGCCACAACCTGATATCCAGTCATCACAAGCATTTCCTACTGAAACATATCAACAAAAGTTTGTTAAATCTCATCACTTTTTTTTTTTTTTTTTGCTCATTTATCATAAAATTAAATTTTAGATATATATATTAGGCAAATTTTTTCTTGATTTTTTTAGGGCAATAAAATATAATTTTAAATAAAAAGATTAATACATTAACATTATTTTATTGCTATTCTTATTTACTCAAACCTACCTAATTCTCTTACAATTCGATTCATATGCAGTATTTAGCAAATATTTTGGATTTTGAATAGATTTAAAATTTGTTTTTTTTTTTTTACCCAAAAGATAATCAAATTTTAGTTACTTTTGACTTTTCTAGAATATCCTCTTTTTTTTTCTAGAGAAATAGCAACGGAAAATGATAATAGCGTTCAAAATGATGTAGAAACGAGGCGAAAACGTAAGTGATATAAACAAATATAGTGTTTTACGTGTATCGTAAAAACATATAGCATAGTTCTTTTATTTACATATATTTTTTTTTTTTTTGGAGAAATAAAGAGGAAATAATTTCTTATTCAAATAATTTTTTTAATAATAGTATGAAGTATATATTTGTTTGTTTGTCTTAAATATTGCTCTGTTGTTTACTGATTTTTAAATATTGCTTTAATGTTTAAAGTTTAATTTTAAATGGAAAAAGAAAATTCAAGGGATGATAGATTTAGCTATTTTTAGCACCTTTACGACCTGCTCCCCCATCGCCATCCGTTGAACGTCCAGTACCACCAACACGACCTCCAGTACCACTCCCAACAACAAAATCAAAATATTCCATTGAACCGTCAATGCATCAACAATTACCGCCTAAGTTGATGGAATCAGAACCAGAAGAAGATGCATGGACACAGTTTAAAAAATTAACAGAAAAAGCTACATCAGCTGTGAAATCAACTGAAGAAAAATTGAGAGAATTGGAAAAAACTACAGCAGCCAAAGATATCAAAGATGAAAGTTACCTCTCACAAATTGGGTATGTTTTCTTGAAAAAGGAAGAAAAAGCAAATGAATGATAAATGCTGCAACATTTTCGAATTTTTTTTTAGTTTAGTGATAGTTTTGATAAAGTATAGTAAAATTCTGTGGTAATCATTCCTAATATTACTTGTAACAAGTCGAATTAACTTAAATAAGATAAAAACGAGAAAGTTTGTAGTGGTTCTCAAGCCTATATTCCGGAACATGCCTATAAGCAAGCACGAGAGCAGGGATCTCTGATTGCACCGATAAAAGAGAAAAAAAAGAATAAACACGGAAAATCAAAGAAAATACCGGAACCGGAATTGACATTAGCACAGGAAGATGATATGGATCGAGCTGCTATGGAATTAGCAAAGAAGATGGCTGCTACAAGAATTGATTTACAGGTTGAATTAATTTATTACATTTTTAATTAATATAATTTACTTACAGTATCAATGTAATGTGTAAATAATTTGTTCATGAAATAAATTAAAATGCATCTTTAATATGCAACTTGGAATATTGTGCGTAATCTTTGAGTTTTTTTTTTTTTTATGATATTTTGAAATGAAAATACCAAAAAATATATATTTTAATACTTATTCATTTATATTTTAATACTTATTCGTTCTTAATTCACTTAGCCTAACTCTTTTTGCACCTTGAATATCTTTTTTTTTTTTTCATCTTTGTTTATCAATTAAATTTCTTGAAATTTCTTTTTTCTGTAAACTTTTTACAGAGCAATAATCGTAATAATACTTGTAGGATTGGAAGCCACCAAAGGAACAACAAGGACCATCAAGTCCTAACCAGCAATCAAACAAATCATCTGAGGAAATGTTAGCATTATTATATTCGCTAAATTAAATTAAATTTCAAACTCGTAACGATACTTTTTGTTAGAAAGCGACAATTAATTAAGGTGACAGGTAATAAGTGCTAATAAATTTATGTGCTTATTATTTATTAAAGTTATTTCATGAATTCATCCTTCACTTTTCTAGTCCAATGACAATGCTAGCATCAGCTAAATCGAGCAGTAACGATGCTGTAAACAAGGAAGCTTCAGAAACATTTGCAGAAACAAATACCGCAGCAACTTTTAGGTACTTTCATGAAATTTACAGAAAATTTTAATCATTGATCTAATTTAAGATTTAAAATTTGCAGAGGCAGAGCATAATCATTTCTATTTGTATTCCTAACTTTTAATTAAAGATTAGTGTAGATAATTTATTCATAAATAGTTATGTATTTTTTAGAACTGATATATTATATATTTTCCTGATCTAACTTAAAATTAATTACTAGTCATAAAGAAAATGATAAGATTTGGATAGGTTTGTATTGTTTTCTCGTTTTTGTCATCACTTTATCAATTATACTCTAATATTTAAGCCCAAAGTTAGAGAATCGAACTTGGACTGCATTTGATGATTCACAGCCAACTGAATTACCAATATCTGAATCAGGTTTTTTCACAAATGCCTCTGTAGCTCCAGTTTCGCCTGATAAAGCATTTGGTTTCACTGTTGCGCCCAATGAACTTAATGCTTCGATCAGTGAAAATTTAATTGATGAGGTTTTTATGTAAAAAAATATTATTATTATATTTTATTAAATGATAATTAGTAATCATTAATCAATATTAAGATTAACGTTAAGATAAGATTAACATCAACATTATGATTAACATTTAAATGATAACCAATCAACATTAAGGCTAACGTTAAGATAAGATTGATATCAACGGACTAACATTTAAATAGTAATTAATCAACATTAATTACTTTCAGTGTTATCAAAAAACAAAAAAAGTTTTCTCTATCAATTTACAGGATTATGATCCATTCAATGTACCTTCAGCAGATGATTTAGTTAAAGAAGCAAAATTACGAGCTGCTGCTGCATTAGCTGCAGAAGAAACTGAAGAAGATATTAACTTTTTTGCTACTGCTAAAATAAATGAAGAAAAAAAAAGTGATATTAGCACACCAACACAAGAAGGTGGTAGTCCAGCTAGTTCACGACCTGCTGGATTTGATGATGAATTCCGTATGGAAGTTAGTTTTTAATATAGATTAAAGTATAAGCTATGTGTTTTATTTCTTTTTTTTATTGGATAAATAACTATAACATATATATATAGATTTCTTTAACCTTAATTTTTAAAAAATTTTTTAAAATTAGATTTGTGCAAAAGTCTAATGTTGATTAGCATTAGCTGATAACAATGATTTCAGTTACAAATATCTTAATCTGCCTGTTTAATAATGAAAATTAATTAAATGGTGATGTAACTCGGTAAAACAAATCAATCCTATTAAATTTGAAACAAAAAAAAATTTAATAAAAATTTGATTTTTTTTGTGTTTCATTTTTTTCTGAATTTAAGTGTTCAATATAATTTCAGGATGGTAATATCAGTACACCAAGTCCATTATACGATGAAGATGATAGTGAGCCATTGACTGATTTTCCAGATAAATTTACCGGTGATGGTTGGGAAATGATGATTCGATACCCTATAAAGAAGAAAATTATGAGTGATCGTTACTGGAAGCCATGTTATGTGAGAATACGTAACAATACCCTTTTTTTGTTCAATTCAAAAACTGAACAGAAACCATTTATGGAAATTTTATTACAGGTTTTTTCTTTTTTTTTCAGCTTTATTTTATTTCCATTTCTTAAACCATTTTGTTAGGAAACTTTTAGTTTTAAAATTAAATCAAATTATACATAGCTTTTATTCCTTATTGAAAAACAATTTTCTTAAAATTACATGAAAATAATTTTAACTTATATTATTTACTCGCATTATATCTATCGTAATACCATTTGGAAAGCTATAATATTCATAACTGATTCCAAATTAAGTTTAAATTTTTTTTTTTAATAGTGGGTATTGTTTAAGTGATTGATTGATCATTGCTGACTGAATGGACTATTTGCTTGTTACCTTGTTTAATTAAAATTAATTTAATTTCTCTAATATAATAATTTATAATTACAATTTAGCTAATTTTATTTTTTAAGAAATTTTTTGAAGAAAAACTGCTAATTTTATTTTGAAGAAATGATTAAGTCATTTTTAAACTTATACATTCGATCAATCTCAAATAATTCCATAATTTCAGGCGACGTATTCTCTTTCTGATCCAACATTACAAGCATATGATGTTTATGGCAAAATTCATACAGTAAAACTGCAATATGTTTTATACAAAGAACGTGTTGGTATCAGACCAGGTATAGCAAGTCAATATCAATGATTGAAAATTTTAAAATTTTAAAAATATTCAATGTTTGATATTATTTCTCAGCTTTGATCATTATTTTAAAATATCATAATTCTAAGTTAAGATTTTGAAATTGTAATTAAAAATTCTTTTTTTATGATTTTAAAGATTTTTATGAACTATAAAGATAAATAAATTAAGAAAAAAAATTTGTGATAAATATTTAGGACAAATTTCACGATTGGTAGAAGGACATGTGACAAAATATGGTTTACCATTAGAACATTCAGCACAATGTACAGTAATACTAAAATTTGGTTCATTAAATGCATCTGAATTGTTTACATTTGTTGTCACAATTGAAGATATTCTCTTTCGCTGCGTGGCTATACGAAATAATACTCCGTTATATAAGCAAGATGAAGTTCAGGTACTAAAATAGTATTTTTAGTATTAAAATAATTTTCATTTAGGATGAAGAATTTATGTTAAGAAGGACGACATGTGACATTCATTTAAGTCTTTATCTCAGCTTTGATAAGTCATTTAAGATAAATCTTTTAAAATAAATGTTAAAACTTAAAAATTTTCATTTATTGTCAGTTACTAAAAAAAATGAAATCAATTATAAAAAAATTTTCTAATGTATGATATACTAAAAATATCTAATTAAAAAGTAATAAATTAAATAGCGACAAGTAAGGAAATGAAAAGTTAGTATAATTGACGAGAAAGATTTTATTATTTTTCTTCTCTAAAAAATGAAATATAAAATAAATAAATAAAGAAGAAAAAAAATTTTTTTTTTCATAAATTTTTTTATGAAAATTATATTTTGTTTGAAAAAAGATTCATTGTTACGATGAATATGCTGCATATGTGGACAAATTCAATATTTTGAGCGATCAAAAAGCTCGTGTACGATTATTTTGTCTTGCATTTGTTTCCGGATCACCCATACTTGAAATTGGTCTCAATGATCGTCGTAGACAAGGAAAGGTTATATTCCTTTCTTAATTTCTTTCTCATTTTAAAATTTCACTCGTTAAATTATTTTGAATTTTTAATAACTTATCAGCTATAATGTTTGCTAAATTTATATTTCATATCATACATTTGTTAATTATTTTATCTTATGCAAGTAATCATGAAATTAATTCAGGAAATAGTTCGTCGGAAAGATATTTTACCAATGTATACCGAAAGATGGATACGATTTGAAAATCTTGAATTTCACAATACAGTTGAAAAAGAAATTTTTGAAAAAGAACAAATAATTCGACTTTCACCACCTGATGGATGCTTTTTTGAGGTATCATTAATTATTTCAACATTTTATTTATGATAAAAGTAATTCTTGCATAAGTGATTATTGCATAGAAAGTAACATTTCAGTGTTTAATTTTGGTATTCTTTTCATTACGTAATAAATTCAAGTTTGAATAATTTCGAAGGATTCAAATTCTGATTATTTGATTTGAGAATTAAATTAGCAGTAAATTAGCATTTCGTAAATTCCATTGATATCAATTAATATTTACAGCAATTATATCACTTATCACCTACTTATCATATTAACATATCATATAATCTTGCATAAATGTTTTTGAACTTTTATTGGATTAAATAAATTTTAGCATAGCTATTATTTTACCATGCTTTATTCTAGCAAATATTAGCTAAAAAAAAAAGATTTATATAAGCTTTGGATGAGAGTACATTTAAAATTACTTCAAACATTTCAAAATTTTTTTATGTACATTAAAAAGATTCTGATATTATTATTATAAATGGAAAAAATTTCAACAGGTAATGAGATTTCGTGTGAGGCCACCAAAAAATCGCGAAAAGCCATTAACAGTAAAATGTGTGATGAAAATTGCTGGTTCTAAGGTATATTTTTGAAATTTTTTTTTATCTATGATTTTGAAATTATCTTTTTGATAAAGATTTTGAAAAGAATTGAAACTTTTCTTCTTCAAATTTTATAATTAATTAAGGTTGAAATTCGAATTGAAGCTATGGCAGCAGCACAAACAGAGAAAACAAAAGGTGATTTTAGTAGCAAACGTCAGGTACCATGCGAAGATATTCAGATTCGTTTTCCAGTACCTGAAGCATGGATTTATTTGTTTCGTGAAGAACGACGTTGGGGTGTTGGATCGGTGCATGCTAAAGTAAGACGTCCGGGTAAAGTTAAGGTAATAAAATTAATATTATTTAGTGTCAATTTTTAATTATATGAAAAAAAATTTTTCAAAAGTATTTTTATTTTTATTAAAATTTTCTTTTATTTTTTGACAATTTTTTTGTATCTAAAAACTAAAAAAAATATTATGTAATTCTGATGAAATTTAACAATTTCAGAATCTTAAAGATCGTCTAATGGGTACAGTACACAATGTTGAAAATTCACTCATTGAAGCAGGTATTGGTGAAGCAAAATATGAACATGTTTTTCGTGCTTTAGTATGGCGTATTCCACGTCTTCCAGAAAAATTTCACGCTGCATACAGGGAGCATTTATTGCGTTGTCGGTTTGAACTTTCATCATTTGATTTAATGCCTGAAACATTTGCGCCAACATGTGATGTGGAATTTACAATGCCACTTGCAATGATTAGTAATACAGTGGTACGATCAGTTAGCGTTGAACAACATGATGATAGCGATCGAGTGGAAAAATTTGTACGATATGTGGCAAAATGTACTTATAAAGTTTGTATTTCATTTATTTTATTAAAAATATTTTTATATTTAATAAATTTTTAATTGGTTTAATTGATGAAATTAACTAATGTTTAATTTTTTGTAGAATTCATTCTTTTCTTTTTTTTAATAATTTTCTAATGATTTTTTTTTAAAATAATTTAATAATTTTATAAAGATTTTTTTGAAAAGTAATCAATCTTGAAAATATGCTATTTAATTGAAATATTATATACTTATATTTTGTTTCTCATTGCATCTTGAAATGTGTCATGCATTCTAAATTATTTTTTTATTATCTTCAGGTTGAAATAGATTACGTTCAGTGTTCTGATTTGGATATTGATCCTATATTTGATCCAACTACAGCTAATCCAGCAGCTAATCAGGAAAGCATACCTGAACAGCATAAAGCAATGTTTAATCCGGATGAAGTGAACGAATTGCATGCAGGGTAAAGTTCTACTTTAAAGAATTTTTTAACGATACTTTTTTTTTTAAATTAAAACATTCTTTATTAATTTCATTGATATGTCTTATCACTTAAACAATAATCAAGCAGAAAACTGTTGCAATTTAAATTCATTGCTTTTTTGTACTTTTTTTTCTAATTTTAAATAATTTTAGATATTTGAAATTTTAATTTTAGATATAGGATCGATTTTTCTGATGCAGAAATTGGTGCTAAAAGGCATAATGATGCTGATTCAAGTAGTGATGAAGAAGAAAATCGTAGTGCAATGCCAATGATTCAGATCGATCCGAAGCAGTACGGTTATTGATCAATTTATTGTATAGGGAACTTTTCAGAATATAATTTAAATTTTGCTACTATTAATTGGAGCATTTTTTTTTGGTATTTGATAATTTGAGTAATTTGAAATTTCAATCAAATTAAATTACAATTAAAGATGAATACGAACTTAAAAATTGTTGATAAATTGTGGTAAATTAAAAGAAAAATAATTGTTTTGCAAGTTTTTAATCACTATTTTAATTTTTATAACTTTTGAATGAAACAATAATTTGCATTGTTATTTATATTAAATAATTGTAAGCAATGATTAAAAGAATTTTTTTTACACTCTTTTTTCCTTTATAATTTATATTTTTTTAAATAAATTCATTAATTTATAATTTATATCTTTTTTCTTTGTAATTTATAATTTATATTCTTCAAAATTTAAAACATATAAATTATCCTTGTATTTTCTCAAGAAATGCCTAATGTTACGCATTATTTATTATCCTTTTTAATTTTTTCCTTTTTTTCCCTGTTTTGGATTTTGCTTTTTCATATTGAAAAACAAGAAAAGAATTATAAGCAACTGATAAATGCTTTCAACTAACTTTTAAAATTCAGTTAAAATTCAGAATTCAACTTATTAAAAGCAAAAACTTAAGAGCAAATTATTAAAAGTAAAAAATTTCACATTTCATTGAATAAAGTTACTTATATTTAGACAGGTGTTTCGCGTGTCACTTTTAATTTATTTTCAATAAAATGCTTCTCTTTCCTCTTACTTATTATCAATGTTCTCACATCATTAATTTATCTGTTCGATTAGAACTTTCAAATTTACAATTTGACAAAAAATTTGAATACGTAATTTCTCGAGATCCCATGACAACTTTTTCCATCTAAGTATTATTGGATTTTCTTATTTTTGTACTCTAACTTATTTCTTCTTTTGTTTGTAAATTCAATTTACTTAATCTTTGTTCCACTGTAAAGTATCCAGTAAACAATTCATGCATGCAGTAACGAGAGAATAAATTTTAAATCTACTTGATAAGTTCTAAAGTGATATTTGTTAAAGATAATTTGCATAATTCAAAGTTGACCTTAACATGCTTCTAGGATATTTTTTCCTTTAACTTTTGCATGAAATCAATGCACAATATTTCCTTAATTTCATTAAAACTTCCCTTTATTAATAATTTTGGATGCTTTTACTCATTCTAATTGTATACATTAATGATATTATTATCAATGTAAATCTTGCAGCTTGCATCAGGCCGAAATAAATTATTTTTTGCATTTGTTGATTTTCATTAATCGATAAGATGTACTATGCAACTTCATTTATGATTTCAAATACTACAGAACATAATCATGACATGATAAAAAATATGGTATAATAAAATTGATAGCAACAAGTGAGTATTTATTTTTAAACTTTATAATTTAAAATTTCTCTACTGAGCAACACGTCAGAATGGTAAGAGTAGGAAAAAAAAATTACTTCTGATTGTACTTTTCTGAAATTGTTAAATTATTAAACAGTAGGCACCTTATAAAAATTATTAGCAAATATATTTTTACATAAAAAGAAAAGAAAAAAAAACAACAAAGCTGAAATTTGAACTACGCTTTTTAAGTTTCATAAATATAACACATTCGATAATAAATGATTTGAATAGGAAAAATTTCGTGAAATTAATTTCGATTAGATAATCACAAGAAATCTCTCCTCTCAAATCAGCAACTATAATGTGAAATATTTTTAATTTAAAAATGGTAATTCCACCAAAGAAAAAGGATTTGGATCAATTCTGTGTGTATTCGATCGAATTTGGTGCTTTTCCATTAGAATGAAGAGGTCAACCAATGCATATTATTATCAGTTCAAGCATATCATTGGAGAGGTCAATGAGGACATGTCGTGCATTTTAGAGGAGGGAATAGAGGTCATCCTTTTCATTAAGAGACAGCAAAGATTATTATTCTCCATCTAATAAGTGGTATACTGATTATAATGATAAGAAAGATATATAGTGGCATAGCTAATATTATAGTGATAAATGTATCCATGTCTAGAGTATCAGTAATATTACCCGAGATTTGCCTTGTTTCAATCATTGATTCCTGCAATGATTTGTTGTATTTTGATAATGCTATCAGGAAAATCATTTCAGATACTTTAATTCAGAATAATTAAGCATTTATGCTATTAGTTTTGCTTCTGAGTTGAAAGGGATCAGTTACAATTGGTGAAAAGGATCTAAATTTATTTTAGGGCATTGATTTTTAAACTTATTCACTTTATGTCGCATGGTTGTGCATTGTAACATTCTAATAAGTGATAAGTGTCTTATAAGTGATAAGCTGTGTACATGTCTGATAAATAAAATGAAATAAATACCTGTCGTGTAATAATCAATGCTAAAGCATTTACAGGCAGTCTCTTATGTTCAACTGATGGAAATATTTGAGAGTCGTTGAATTCCAAAGTTTCCATAAACTCAGTCTTAATTTTGTTGCCTCTATTAATAAAGATTTACTCTGAATGACGGAATTGCTTGTCAAAAATTTGAAACTTATCCGAAAATTTTGATAATATTAATATTTAAAATGATTTAAATCTTTTCAAAGCATTCTTTCTAACATCATTATGATTTACTCATTACTCGAAATAAATAAATTACCTTATTAAAATCATTTGGCAGTAAATGCACTGTCATTCGAAATGACAGAGTTAAAATTTCAAAGATGCAAAACTGTGCTATTGTCGTTTGCAACATATAACGAATTTTGCTTCCAACAATGCAAATTAGCATGCGTTCAGATTCAGACTTCAATGCGTCCTCCTTGGTTAATGACAGAAACCATTCTAAATTTAAATTGAATTTAAACGAACCTCTCATATAGTACTAAAAAAGTTAAAAATAGCGATTGCTAATAAGTAATCAATTTAAGCAATTCAATCTTAAGTTTGTTTTGTAGAATTTTGCATAAAAAATGATTAATAATGCATTTACTTGGATACTGATCGTCAACATCATTTAATGTAATTATTTGTCCAAGGTAATCAATAACTGCTAGATTACTTAATGATATTAAACCAGAAGTTATATCTTTGTAACCATATCGTCGTAGTTTAAGTTTTAAGCCTTCGTCAACAAATAATGTTTCGTTTGTTATGCTATTGTCATTGTAACAAAGATAAAATAATTTGTTACTCTGTCTTGCATAGTAATACCTGTGACAAACATGAAATTTCAATATAGAAAATTATTTCAATTTTTTCAGAAGCATCCAATTTATGGAAAAAAAAATTGTTGTTATCAAGTAAGATAATCGAATGAATGAAAGTGTAATAAATAAATAATAATCAAAATTTTTGATTTAAAGCAAAAAAAAGATTTTAAAAAATATTTTGACTACGTTAATATAATAAATTTTACGAGATGAAAATAAAAGATACAATTTTCGTTACCAACTTAGGATGATAACAATGACGAATTCGTACAAATTTAGCCATTGGCCAATATATTTCACAGTAGAGAATGTTATTATAAATTGCCCAGTTGCAAGAAGGTAGTATAATCCGAGCTTTAGGAGCATCAATGATGAAAAAATTCACTTTCTAAAATATTTTGTTTATTCATAAATGAAATTAATTTATCTAAACGAAATGTTAAATTTATTATCTTTAATTTAGCATTTGTGTTTGCTTTTTTTTTTAGTTATTATTTTATTCAGTTTTAAATTTCTTTCAAAAATTGCATTTTAAACAAACTGTTCCTATAATTTTTCTAAAAATTTTAAAACAATTTCAAACTAATTAAGGAAGAGTGAATTAATGACTTGTTTTGAATTTTTTAAAATTGACATATTGGTGGAAACAAGATGTACAGTAGCTGTCGAGCAATCAAAATGTTTTATTTCTGCAAGGAATCACATCTGTTCACATATTCAAAAATAATAGCTACTCAATCAGAATTAGCTTTATCAGCTAAGAAGTAATTATTTGATAAACAAATAGCTTTCAACAGTAAAGTTTAGAAAATGTTTGGATTTTATCAAATATCTTACAAAAAATTTTCTTCATAAAATTTATTCGCTTTGAATTTTTCATATATAAAAGAAATTGGGCACAAAAGATTATTAATTATTAATGCATTACGTTTTGAAAGCATAAAATTAGACACAAATGCAAAGAAATAATGCAATTGAGTAATTGAAATCTTTAGACAACAAATTTCTTCTGGAACTTGATAGAACAGAGATAAATTTTGATCTTATTTTGTTTGATAGTTTCAAATGACAAATAGTTCATCATTTTTGATTATAAAGAAATTTTTTTTTCTTTTAATGTTCTATTTTAATTTTTGTTTGATAAAGAAGAAGTTAAATTTACTTGCGTCAATAGTTTTTAAATCAGATAGAAAGTTAGCACTCGAAAAGACTACCATATCAACGATGAAAATTGCACCACCTTGTGTAATACCGTATACACCATAATTGGAAGCGATTTAAAATAAATTAAATCTTATATCAAATTTTTTAAAATCAAATTTTATTTGCTCATCAGTATAAAACACAAAACTGATAAACAAATGGAGTAGTTTGCGATTAAAAAATCATAGAAATGAAATTAAACCTTGTTATGAAGTGGTATATTGCAATTAGCGTCAGCACATCCTGGTTCTAAACTACAAAACATTGAATTCAGTATAAAAGTTAGAATAATCCAGCAACAATCAAATGCTACCGCCATCAACAGCCAAAATTATGCGAAATGAATTTTGAAAATTTTAACAAAATCTGCAAAATAATGATTAAAATATATTTCTGCTAATGTAAGAAGAAAAAATTTTCAAAATTTAATTTGTTAAAATTAAATATTTAACAATTGTCAACATATAATACTACATTCAACTTCCTTCAGGTATGTTGCAGAAAATTTATTTATTTCTGCAAAAGAAATTTCAGTTTCAATTTAAATTTAATTTAAATAAAATTTTTTTTTAATTTAAATTAACTTAAGCAAAAGAAAAAAAAGTGAAATGTTTTAAAATTTTTTTTCTGTACTTATAACTGAATTATAAGCGCTGCTCAGGAACTTTTTTATTCCTATACATATCAAATAAAGTTTATCATTTATTGTGCTCAATGATTATTTTATCGTTTTGAACATATCATTTAATCGTTGAGCTAAAAATCCAAATAAGCTTATATCAGTTTGCAAAAATTGTTCATATAAGCTTAAAGTAATTTGTATTATTTTAAAACATAATTCATGTCAATTTTACATAAATTAGTATTGGAAAAGAAAATATTAGCACTTAAATACTGAATTAACAAATTTTGTGCATTTTAAATGTATGCAAAAAATTTTTCATATTCATTAAAATTAATTAATATAATGCAGTTATCAATTACAGCTAATTATTTTGAATTATTTAGAAAGCTCAATGGATTAATTCATTATCAGTGATAAAACTATGTGTATGCTTTTTTTTATACATAAAAAATTCTGATATAAGCAAAATTCTAATAAAATTTGATCCAAAATTTGATCATCAAATTATCTGATAAAGAAGCATTTTTTGTTTTCTGCTTTGTAACTGAATTAGTTGATTTCAACTTTCTTTCCTTTGGCTAATTTCTACAAATTTATTCCATAGATCCTCTGCTGTTGACAACTGTGGTTTTCTTTCTTTTTCATTTTAGAGTTTAATATTTTAAGGTTATAATTCTATTTCTGAATTTTTGACCACAATTGATCAAAAGTCAAATTTGCAACGATTAAATCCAGAAAAGAGATCAAACTTTGTAATAATACACTTAATTTATATTTAATTTGTATATTAATTTTAATTTATATATTAATGAAAGTATTTCACCCTTATAAAATTAAAATTAGGCAATTTCTGTCGTTAAATAAAAACAAATAAACTTCAAAAATGACAATATTATTTTCTTTTGGATTTGTCTAAAGCTTTACAGTGTTCTATTTTTCATTTTCTTTCTGATATATATATCATAATATTCTATGTCCTAATCTATTTCATGATATGACTGTACGCAATTTCAATTTCTTAAATTAGATTTTTAAAATTAGAAACTGTTATGCACATCTTTATATGTTGGGTATAATCGTCACCTGTGAATTTATGAAATTTAAAATACTTCGTTTCTATTTTTAAGTGTAATTTTATTGATAGCAAACATTACTGAAATTCTTTGAGAGCTAAATAAATTTATAGACAAATAGAAAAGCAAATTTATTTTCAAGTAAAAAAGTAAAAAAAAAGTAATTCACAACTATTATCAACATAGACGACACGTTTTCAAACATTTTTTAATCAGTGACTTGTAGAATGAATTTGTGCAAAATCCATTAGCTGCCCATGCGACACATCTGCAAAAGATGAATTATAATTGAAATAAGAAAGTGAATTTAATTTGATAATAATAAAAAAAAAATGAGAAATATGCTTCACATTTTTGGATAAATTCTTTAAACAACTGAACCAATAGAAAATTAGGAAAGTTTAAACAACCTTTGATCTGTATCAATGCATTGTTGATCAGTTGAGTCAGGCTTTACTGTTGATGATTCTGAATGACAAAAGCCGCATGTTTCGTTGCATGATAATTGCATCAGAGGTTTTAGCTTTGGATCATTACAGTTATCTTTTAATGACGAACAATATTCTGTCGTATCGAAACAAATATCTAAAAAAAAAGTCTTAAAAGTCTTAAAAACAATGGATACGAAAAGGAAACAAAGCCAATATATTGAGCAAATATAGCGACGAACTTAATGGTCGACAAACATTGCATGTTTGAGGACATAATCGTTTTGATTCTTCATTTTCACAACTTGATTTCAAAATGCGACAAATTGCGACATTACTATCGATACATTCTTGACCACATAAACCGCATGTTTTAGCACATTCTGCACTAATTAGCGACAGGAGTACTCCATTTTTTGTTTTGCATAAACCACTTGTTTTCATTCTCTCACAGTTTAAGCGAACTGAAAATGAATTCTATAAAGTGCATGTGTATTAATTTGCAAAAAGAAAAACAGAAAAATTCAATTAAATTTTTAGAAAAGAATTAAATAAATTTTATATAATGATTTCCTGAAATGATATAAAACATTAAAATTATGACCTGTTTTATGATAATTAAAACTAGTTTTTTCCTTTTTTTTTTTAGAAATTGACTTTATTAAGTTGATAATTTTTATAAAATTAGTGAGTTACCTCCACGATCGTTACATTTAAAACGTGGTAACTTGCAGCATGTTTCACAGCTTTTTGCACAATGTAAACCTTTAGCTGATAGCTTTTGCTTATCACCACCAACATAGCAGTCATTTTCTCTAAAATTAAATATTTGTTGCAAATTTTGCAATCTAAAATTTTTGTTAAGTATGTAAGTTATTTTTGCTAACTTATTTTCAATTCCATCACAGAATGGTGAATCGTAATCATTCTCGCAATCACATTGATCTGCTTGAGAATTTGTCGTTTGTATTATCAGCAGACCAACAATTAAAGATAATAATATTAAAGCCATATTAGCCTTTGGTATTATTTTTTCACAATCAAAAGATCTTAAAAAAAATGAATGAACTTTTGTAATAGATTCACATATCGCATTACACTTCTCATTTATTCATTTTAAAATTATAAAATATGAAATTAAATTAATGTAAAATAATAACAATTAAGCAAGTATATCTATTCAAGTGCTATCTGTTCAATAAAATTTATTACATATTGTAATGTCTAAAAGCATTCAACGAATATTACAATTGCTATTATAGAATGAAAAAAAGATTTGAGAAATGATAAGTAATAGAAAATCAGGTGACAATCAAGTAACAAAATGAAGTTGATATTCCGTATCTAATTCTATTATTCATTTTTGAGATGGATGGGTGGGTGGATGGATGGATGGATGGATGGATGGATGGATGGATGGATGGATGGACCGATTATAAATATAATTACTATACTAAATATACGAGTCTGTAATTTCATAAAAAACAGGTGAGAAAACAATATGCAAAACATAATGAATTATTAAAATTATCAATTCTTTATTAGTATTGTTAGTTATAAAATGGTTTGTAATTGCAGAAAAACAACACCTGAACCATCTGTGGAAATATTCAACAATAGGAAAAGCCTCGACTGATACATCAATATCACAACACAATGGAAATTCTCCATTATCTTGTTTGTCATTTTGAAAAGAAGAAAAAAAAAAAGGATAGTAAAACAACTGCTACCATCTAATATCAATTTTAACACGTTTTTTTATAACAATTTACTATATATTATTTGCTATAAAGGCTTTGTCATTATGTCACGCAATACGTCAATATATTCCAATTATCAAGATCTTAAATAAGAGATAATAGAGAATATATAAATAATTGAATTACTTAAAGGAGAAATTAATTAAATATCTAAAATAATTAATAAAAACTATAATGCAATTAAGATAATTTAT